CCCCAAAACCCCAAAACCCCAAAACCCCAAAACCCCAAAACCCCTATTAAGTAGCTCCAGTTGGTACCAAATTAATTAATTCAAAGATGAAGTATCTTGCTCTCTCCTTGATCCTTGTTATGGCTGGTCTCTACTTTGGCCCTGAGGCTGCTAAGAGTAAGTCTTGCTAGAGTAACCATGTAGCCCTTGTAGGTAGCCAAGAAGAATTACTCACTGTCAGAACTCCTGATATGTGCTGGCAATTCTGTAACACCTTCCATGGTCCAAACAATACTATCAGGTTAGCATGTGCTCACCCAAGGACTTCTGATATGTGTAATCTTCCTTTCAGATCTTGCTGCACGTAAGCTATTATTTTTCATTTTTAGCTGGCAAAATGTGCCATGTAATGGTACTTTCATCCACCCTACTCAGCTCATTGACATGGATAGGTGTGACGACTTCGAACACCCTCACAACAACACTTTGGATCATGAATAATCGATTATTTAATTGCTTCTAAAGATTTGACTCGGTCTTCTAATTCTCTTCAAAAGATCCTATGATCAATTTTCTTCGGATATCTAAAATTAGGCCTAAGTTTAGACAGCTGGACAGAGAAGAAGAGCAAATGGAGGAATTTACTGGGCATTGGCATTATATAACCTTTTGGTTATATTCTCTAAGCTTAATCCCACTGTGCCATACGAGTTAAAACTCTTAGGCTCCTAAAATCTGATTTCAAATTTCCTAGACTCTGATATATTTAACAAATTTTGACTAATCTCGATAAAACCATTGGTCAGTTTTTAGGTATAATTCTTACAATTTTTGGAGATTTTTAAGAATGACGTTCGATCTTTGGCACAAGTTTATCAAAGCTCAAAGCCTAGATACCTTAAGTCATGCCCTCTGTAGGCCCTGTACAGGGCCTACAGAGGGCTTTGACCAAGGATCTCTGCACAGATCCCTTAATAAAGATGGCTGAGTGCCAATGGCTGTCAGTCCTCATAAGATACAGGCTAAAAATATCTTGTGAAATTTTTAGCCTGAAGGACTTGGGTGGAGCCAAGGCTTTTGAATACAAAGAGCTAAGCATAAAATTAGTGCTACTTTAATTTGGATAGGAAGGAGGCTTGCTTCGTTATCCCATAAAGATTTGTCCATTGGGAGGTAGCTTGGGAAGTTTAAGAGAAAATTAAGTGAAAGCTAAGTTAATTTGGGTTTAGAATTTTTATGAGAGAGGATCGATGATATTTATAAGGTTTTAGAGATTTGAGAGACACAAAAGAATTTTGGATATTTTGGGAAGTCTAATTCGAAGGAGTATTTAATCAGAATTTGCAATCTTTGGAAAGTAAAATTCAATAAAACTTCTAAAGGAAATGTTGGCCAATCGCTAAGCCATTTTTCAAAACCTGAAAGATGAAGGATGATTTTCGCTATCTAAAAAATGTGATCTCAAGGATTCCGAATATAGATGCTTTAAATAGGTCTCAATATAAGTTTGACTTTCAGGGGTTTTGGGGTTTTGGGGTTTTGGGGTTTTGGGG